GATTTCGTATCAAACACATAATAAATATATATATATATATATATATATATATATTAACAATGAAATTAATGATAAAAAATTCAACTTAAATGTCAACATTTTATAAATAAATTTAAATTTATAGACAAAGAAATTGTTACACAATAATAATACATTATTATTGTGAAATCATAGTCAATTTTAACACTATAATTGATTTTGTTGAAAGTATTCATACCGGATTGTGACTTTTTTCTTTTTTTTTTCAAATAAGGTAGACATGATTTTGTCTTGAAATTTTTTTTGTTGCATCCGAACTTAGAAGAAGGAAATTAAATTGTGCTGGGGCCTACATATTTTCTCCACAATTCATACAAATTATATTTCCTAGACACATGTTTTAAAAATATTCCTACCAATATTTTTCTCTTCTCTTGAATTCATACTAAATCACCTGTTAAACAAACTTTCGAGATGTTAAAAATAAGGTCTAAATATTTTTTTTTCTTGTAATTTACCATTTTTTAATATTAATCTCTATAAATTATTTTTATTATTGTTATTTCATTCCTAAGCTTTTAAAACGTATCAAAAATAGTATTTTTTGTTAAAAAAATTATGTGCCAAATAAAATATATATTATATTTATTATATTTCATTCATGTAACTAAATTTATTTTATTTTTTTTAGATAACTGAAAAACGTACTTTCTAGTTGTTACTTCATCATATTTTTTTACGTTTACCCTCTTCAAACTAAAAAACTTCATGTCATGACGAAGCTGAACCACTAACCTTTCTTCGATGATGTGTCCTACTCATTACTGTTGTGGTAATCACAATAGGTGATAATAATCTTAAGCTAACCAATATAATTTTTTTTTAACCTTGAGAGAGACGATATTGATAGTAACACCAATAAAGTGGTGGATGCTCTTATTATGCATGAGCTCCTACACAAATGGAGAGTAGCCAAGTGCAAGGTTAAACTCCTCCATATAGAAGTGGTCATCAACCCTATAAAGGTGATAGTTGTTAAAGATGATAGTTGTTAAAGATGTATACAATGTCATTATCGTGAATTGTGAGAAGTTATTCCTTACTAAAGGCTTAAAGTTTAAAAAGAAATGTTTAAGATTTGATGTTGGATTTAGATTAAAAAAAGGAAAGAGTAGAAGTGTGGATTTACGTAAAGTAAAATATATTTTAAAATTATATCAAAAAATAAAATTAATTTAACTACATGAAATAGTAAAGTGAAATAAAAAAAAGTATAATATATTTCATAAGATTTTTTTTAATAGTAGTTGACGGTAAAAATTGGTTAAAGATAAAATATTAACAACAAAAAATTATAAGATCAAAAGTAAAACAAAGTAATAAATTATAAAGATGAAAATTATATTTAAATTTAAAAGTAATTATGAAGGGTTTGACAGTAAATAATGAATAAGGTAGAAAAGAAATACGTACTTGATTACAAATTTGACATCAATTTAGACGAAACAAAAGCAAAATGACATGGATATTGATTTGGTTTTCACGCTCTGAAAGGCGCGTTGAAAAAAGTTGCTTCATTGCCAAACACAGAAATTATGTTGACGAATTAAGGAAGGAATTTCCAATCCCACTGAAGCAGAAGGTTCGAACTGCAATTTATGACATAAATAAAGCAACACCTTTCTTTTTCCACCATTTTCTCTTATTACCAGTATTTAACAAGAGGAGATAATTCCTCCAATAAAAACAATCTTTTCTTTCCAGATATTATTATTACGTCTCTATTACTTTACATATAATTTACAAAATATAAAGTTCGTGGCTAATTTTTACTTTTATCCTATAATAATCAGTTGTTTAAAATTAAAGAATTATTTATAAAAAGTATTTTTAATTTTTTTTATGAGGCAGATAAAAGTTATTCTTCCGAAAAGTAAAAAATATATATATTTTTATTTAAAAATAATTTAGACAAATACATAAAAAAGTTACTTATTTAATAATTTTTAAGAATGTTTTTTAACAAACGGGTGACGCATGATTTTAGTTCCTAAAATCTTAAATGGATAAAAAAAAGTCCCTAAAATCTTATATATGCAAGTTTTGTTTAGCTGGACTTACAAAAACTTTACTTAACAAGAGAAAATGTATCAGAAATAAAAATCGGGCCTAGTGGTAGGATACATTGTGGATATATAATTTTGTTTCTTTATGTAATAATATATTAACTCTTTTTATTTTATTTTATAAGAAATATAGTAGTCTAGTAGTGCTATTCAAATTGACCTCATACATCAAAATTTTGTTATATTATTTAGTTGAGACAATAAATCAATTTAAAATATTTTTAATTTTTTTTAATATTGTTACTTGAGAAGCTCATTAGATGTATAAAAAAATCATAGATATGATTTCTAAGATATTTTTCAAATTGGAATATGATTCTAGATGGAATATCTCTCTTTATGCATCTTTAAACATTAATTTAATTTCAAAATCTAAAATTTACACTAATTTCTTACTTTAATGAAATATATAATCTAAAAATAAATTTTCGTATTAAAATTAAAAATTTGTAAACATATCTCAAAAATACCTTACTTTTATCATTTTAGGAAAGGAATAATATAAAAGAAAAATTATTAAAATCAGCTGGAAACAATCATACAACACAATTATATAGTCTTTTAGAAGAATCATAGCTTTAATGTTTATGTCTTTCTTTTATTTAAAAAAAGAATGAATCTTTTTTACTATAATACATAATATCAAAATGATAAAATAATTTAAATTTATTCAATAAAAATATATTTATGTCAAGTGAATCTGTCTTGTAATGATGTATATAATTAAAAATAAATGTTTAATATAAAAATTAAACATCTACAAATCATATCTCAAAAACACTTTATTTTATTATTTTAGAAAAAAAACAAAAAAAAATATAAAAAATATTAAAATCAACTATTAATAATCATGCAACACAATCACATATTTTATTAGAAGAATCATATTTACATTTTTTTATTTAAAAAAAAGTGAACCTTTTTCACTATAATGTATAATGATAAAATGAGAAAATAATTAAAAATCATTTAATAAAATTATATTTATGTTATTTAAAAAAAAAATTCAATGAGAAATGTTTTACTTTTCACTTTTTGCATTATTTTTTCACTTTTAATGAAAAAAATATTTTTTTTTTCACCTTTTGCACTGCTTTTTCATTTTTGGTGACAAACAAAATTACGATTTTTTTTATCTTATCTTCAAGTGTAACAGTATTTAAATAAATTCTATTGTGATATAAATAATACAAATATTATATTAAATACATAATATAAAGAATACGATTAGAAATCGAATAAAGGATTAAATAAAATAATTAACTTTAAAATATGAATTTAAAAATATGATAAAAATCTTCACAATTTTGTCTTATTATTTCAACACCAATAAAAAAAAACTATCGTGTTGATATCGATAACATATTATGAAAATTAAAATACAGTTATAAATTATAATAAAAATAATTAAAAGAAAGAATACAAAAATAATATAAGAAAGATAATGAAGAGTTTCTTATAATATTTAAAATAATAAAATAACTTATTTATAAATATATATAATTAAAAATAAAATAATTGATGAAATATAAATATTAATAATGAAAGATTATTGTTAAATATTAGAGGAGTCAAGGTACTTTATGTTCTAATAATTATATATAAATAAATATTAAAAATTATGAATAATTATTTAAAAATAATAATATTTTTTTATATTTAAAGAATATAATCGCCCAAAAGATAGTTATAAAAAATATATTTTCTTTATGTATAGATTTATAAAAGAAAAAACGGATGTAACACTATTTGAAACAGGAAACGTAACATTCACAGTACAAAACAAATGTAAGCCGCGTGTTCTTCTTTCACACGCCGCTGACGACGTTGACTCCATCCTCTTACAGCTGCCACTAACAAACATACACACAAAACCAACTGGATTCTATGTCAAATAACATCCTAATAAACTAATCATATTCATATTACTATTGCAATTCAACACTTATTTGACGCTTGCAGTTTCTTTCTTTTCTTTTAAAATCAAATCATTTACTCTTTTTTTTTTCTTTTTCTTTCTTCTATTTTATCTTTCTCTAAATTAAATGAGACTGGTGTATGACTAAACGTTTCATATTTTTAAGGGATAAAAGAGTAAAAATTAATTTCTAAAACCATTTCATCATTAGTCAAACCAAATTTAATTTTTAATAAGATGTAAGTTTGAATATTATAAATAAAAAAATAATACATTAATGATGTAAGACAGTTTTTAACTACCATTCAATTACAAATAACTATGAATGATAATTTTTGTTAACTTTAATAATAATTACATAAAAAGTTATATAAATATTAATTTATAATTAATTAATGGTGTAAAACATTTTACATTAATATTATATAATTATTAAATGTATACTTACTCCATTTAAGTAGTGAAAGTGAAATAGTAGAATTGGGTGTGAATGAAAATGCATGGTGGTGATATTGAACCAACCAAGCCAGTTAGTTCCTTCCGAAGCCAAATCAAATAGCTTGAACTCGTTTTGCCAACCAGCCACCCTTCTTAACTTGAAAAGCAGGAAAGCCTCCTTTTGACGCCTCCTTTTGTTTTCTTCTCTCTTCTCTTCTTCCTCCTTTATTCCTTCCTTCTCTCTTCCTCCACCATTACATAACATCTCAAACCACTTGGGGTGCACCATTTCTTCTTTCTAAATTTTTCCCTCACTTCCTTTCTTGTGAAAAGTGTCAAATATTGCAGCTTTGGGCACCACAATGGTCCACTATCACCGTTACCATCAACCCAGGAAGGGTGTCACAGACTCCAACAAAGATGAAGAGTCACAAAACCTTGTGTTGGATTGCTCAACCTCTGCTTACTACAAGAGAACCAGGCCAAAGTTGTTGTCTTTTCTCTTCCTCATCACCCTCCTCTCCTGCTGCTATGTCTTTGCACCTCTTTTCCTTTGCCCTTCTTTCCCTTTTTCTCTCTTATGTAGTAAGCACCTAACCCCATGTCAAAAATAATTTTAAAAATCTTTTTTTTTTTTCCTGTCTGACTCTGTTACTCCATGTGTTGATGTTCTTTTCTTGCTTTTCAGACTCTCCCGGAACTGAAAATGATGTGAGCCGAGATGGTGTTGATGTATATGCTTCTTCTACATGCTCTTCAGTTTCTGCTGGTATTTGTCCTATTCCCTTTATCTAAACTTTTTTTTTTTTCCATTTTGTTTGCTTGTGTTGTGTGTTTTTTACATGGATGATCAAACGTAATCATTGAAAAAAGGGTCAACCCCATGGATTTTCCTTGTAACAAAGTGACGGAGTTTGTGTTTCATGGAACATGTCTTGTGATTGATTGGTTTTAATAATTGATGTTTTATTTTAATAATAAATTTTTGAAATTTGAGTATATTTTGTTTTTTACATGTTATTTTCTCCGAATAATGTTTTGTGCTTATTCGATAACGCAGGAACTATATGTTGTGATAGAAGTAGTTATCGTTCTGATATTTGTGTGATGAAAGGTGATATCAGAACACACTCTGCTTCCACTTCGGTCTTTCTCTTCAATTCAAGGAGCCCCGATAATGGTTCCACGAATGCTGAAGAGGAACTCCAACATGAAAAGATCAAGCCATATACTAGAAAATGGGAGAAGAGTGTTATGAACAACATTGATGAATTAAACCTTGTTTCGAAGAAAGTGAATTTGGTTAGTGTTGGTGGTTGTGATGTGCAACATGATGTTCCAGCGGTGTTTTTTTCTACTGGGGGCTACACGGGCAATGTTTATCATGAATTCAATGATGGAATCATACCTTTGTACATTACTTCACAGCATTTCAACAAGAAAGTTGTGTTTGTGATTCTTGAGTTGCATAATTGGTGGGTGACGAAGTATGAGGACGTCCTTTCTCGTCTATCAGATTTTCCAGTGATTGATTTTACAAAAGACAATAGGACTCATTGCTTCCCAGAAGCCATTGTTGGTCTCACAATCCATGATGAGTTAACTGTTAATTCTGCATTGATGAGGGGCAACAAGAGCATTGTTGATTTTAGAAACCTTTTGGATCAAGCTTATTGGCCTAGGATTAAGGGGCTGATTCATGATGAGGAAAGGGAAGCGCAAGAGAAATTGATAGAACAAACCTCTTCATCTCCATCATCAGAAACATCACAACAACATTACATTAAGCAACAAGTGCCAGAAAATCCAATGAAGAAGCCTAAGTTGGTTATTCTCTCTAGAAGTGGGTCAAGATCTATAACCAATGAGAATTTGCTGGTGAAGATGGCAAAGGAAATTGGCTTTTTGGTGCAAGTTTTGAAGCCTGACAGAACAACAGAATTGGCAATGATATATAGGACTCTTAATGCAAGTGATGTCATGATTGGGGTCCATGGAGCAGCAATGACACATTTTCTGTTCTTGAGACCTGGCTCTGTGTTTATTCAAGTGGATCCTCTTGGTACTAGTTGGGCTGCAGAAACTTATTATGGGGAACCTGCAAGGAAGCTTGGTTTGAAATACATTGGCTATGAAATTCATCCTAGAGAGAGCTCTTTGTATGTGAAATATGATAAAAATGATCCTATTCTTAGAGACCCTACAAGCATTACCAAGAAGGGGTGGGAATATACAAAGAAAATATATCTTGATAGCCAAAAAGTTACATTGGACCTTGGAAGATTCAGAAAAAGGTTGCTTAGAGCTTATGAGTATGCACTCTCCAAATCAAAACTGAATCTCCAAAACCCACCGATTTGAATTTCATTTAGTTATCTACAATCATTCTTTAATGTGAAAAATATATATACATAAAGTATTGAACATTCTTATGCATATTAATACAACCCGAAAAGTTCTTGGTGCGAAATGTTGTGTACAGCAAGCATTTAGAAAGGTACCTAGGATGTGTAAATAAAAGCTGCAACTTGTGATTCCTCATTTTCTTTTTGGTGTGAAAAACAATGTGTAACATTGTTCACTTCAGAGTTCAGATTCAATCGTTCAATGTTAGTGGTTTCAAATTTTGTTGAGATGTTAAAGTTGACCGTGCAGTTTGCCAGAGCACTAGTCTGGTGTTGATTAATAAGAGAAAATATTTTCTTTCCTTTTCATTCTATATTCAACCAATTAATGTGATCTATATCTGATTATAATTTTTTAAGAAAATATCAAAATAATGGTTAAACTCTTATACACCATTTTGCAAGTAGAGAGATAGAAGAGAAAAAAGTATGATACGATATATGATATAATCTGATAAAAAGAAAGAGAAAAAAAAAGTCTTAATAAGGTATTTGTAATGGAGGATTCTCGATATATCATTTAAAAAAAGAAAAAAGAAAAACTCAGATGTTTCATTATCTAGAACTTATTATTGAAGGTGTTTTCTCGGGTAGTCCTATGCATATTTCTTTCGGATTCAGATATCATACTAGAGGGAGCATAAATATTGAAGATCTAGAGTAATTTATTCTTATTAAATAATTTTCATCTTCCAAATTTAAAGAGAAAAAATAATTGTATATAGGAATCCGAGAAAGCACTAAACAACAGTGCAAAGCTGCCACCGATTTGATATGTGGTTTAAATCTTTCCCTGCTCATGTACGTTAAATTAAAAGTAGGTCAAGCCTAAAACAAAATTGAAACGAAAATTATCCTAAATATACTCAGACACAGTATATTAATTAATAATTTTAAAAAAAATTATAATAATATTGATATAATTTTTTATTAAATATTATATCATTTAATAATTTTATATTAAATATAAATTTTATAAATTTAACTATTAATTAAATGATATGAACTAAGCTTTTGTTTTCAAAAAAACTATTAAATTAAAAGTTTATATTATTTTATATATTTAT